AAAAAAATACATTTATTTAAATCATTTCAAATACTCCTAAAATGTTGTCAGTAACGCCAATTGACTCTTTTAGTTGGCTGTTGGACTATAGCTTGCGATTAAAAGTTTGTTTGGTTTGACTTTTTTAATTTTTATGAGAAAAAAATAAAATAATTATGATTTGAATATGATATTTTGTCTTATTAATTTGTTTAGTCTATTTTTTCTTTAGGCCAAGTTTGGGATGTTCCAAAAAAGCCAAAAAGTCAAAAAGTTACTCAAAAAGTTAAAAAGTTAACTGTTGTCAGTAACGCCAATTGACTTTTTTAGTTGGCTGTTGGACTATAGCATGCGATTAAAAGTTTGTTTGTTTTTTACTTTTTTAACTTTTTTAATTTTTATGAGAAAAAAATAAAATAATTATGATTTGAATATGACATTTTGTCTTATTAATTTATTTAGTCTATTTTTTCTTTAGTGTTTTTTTAGCCAAAAAAACTCTAGTCAAAATATTTATAAATTAGTGAAAAAAATTATTTGTTTAATTATTAATATTTATAAATTTTATCATTAATTTAACTCTTTTTATTTATTTATAAAATTACACTGATTTGTAAATTTGACTTTTGAAAAAAAACGTGTTAATGAATGGCTGAATTTAGATGTAGGGCAGGGCTTCCGACCCTGGTTTGAAGGGTTTACTTCAGGTTTACATAATTTATCACTAGTCTCCTTTCAAATGAATTGAACCACATCATAAATTATACATTTATTTTATTTGTCACTAAAAAGGATGAATAGTGTATTTTAAATAAGAAAAACACATTTTTCACCTATTTAAGTAGTGTTTTGGAAAGTTGGTAAAAACACATTTCTGTATATAAAAACAAAAATACATTTTTGTGTATTTGTATATAAAAACACAAGAGTTGATGTTAAACATTTTGAAATTTAAAATTCAGGCATGTAAAATGAAACTTTAAAAAAATTAAAATTACTAATTTCTTGCAAAAATATTCTATTTAGTTTCATTTTCAAAATGTATTTTTTTATTAAAAGAAAAACTAAAAGGCTAAAAATTAATTTGGTGGAAATTTTCATGTATTTTTCTCATTTTTAGGGTTAAATATATTTTCAGTATTTGATTTTGTTAAAATAATTTTATTGCTTTTCCTCTTTTAAGGAAAAAATAGTGAATATCTCTCTCTATTTTTGTGCAGTAGAAGAGGTCTAAGATTTTTTTATTTGCTAAGATCCCTCAATATTTTCACATAAAAAATTCAACTCAAAGAAATTTTGCCTGTCACGGAAAAAATTTTCTATGAAAATTGAAATTTCTCTGAATCAGGATGAAATTTCTCTGAGTCAGATAAAATTTCTCTAAGTTGAATTTTCTCTGTAAAAATGTTAAGGGATCTTATCTTTTATTTTATAAAATCTTTTTATCAAGAACTTTAAGAAAAATTCCTTTTTTAAATCAAAAAATAAATTTTAAAAACCAAATCAAATAAAATGAAAGTTATATAACTTTTTATTGCACACGTGTCGTTGCATAACTCTAGAAATAGAAAATTACTCTCTCTCATAATCATATAGCATAAGAATATATAACTTTTTATTGCACACGTGTCGTTGCATAACTCTAGAAATAGAAAATTACTCTCTAATAATCATATAGCATAAGAAATTCCAACATTGACAATTTTCATAAAACAAAAACAAAAACAAATACTTATTTTGGTAATTGGGTTAAAAGTTAATTTTTTAATATTTTGATTTTTTTTATCACGTCATCTCTCTATTTTTTTATATATTTTTTATATAAAATTAAAAAGCTAACTTTTAATATATTTCTCAAAATAGACCTAATGAATTTTTTGATAATAAAAAATGTTAAAAATTCAAATTTTTTATTAAATTTTTTTATTAAATATCATACATAAATATAAGACCCACGCAACATGACTCTTAGATGGAATCAACACTCATATAACATATTTAAAAATTTTGATAAAATTTTGAAAGTTTTAGCATTACTTTTTGACAATTGTACAAATTATAATCCGCCACCATGACCCACGGGATCTACCACTGGGATGACCTGTGTTGCCGGTGAAAAACCGATATCGTGCAGCCCACCATTTTTTGACTTTGTTGAATTCAACACATTAAAAAAATAAGGGCAAATTACATATACACCCCTCGAGGTTTGGCTAAATTACAGATGCCCCCTGAGGTTTGAGAAATTACGAATTCCCCCTGAATGCTATATTTGCATAAGAAATTAGGGGGTAATTTGTTATGAAATATAAACCTCAGGGGGCAAATTGTTATGAAAATACAAACCTCAGGGGGCGGGATGTAATTTCCGAAACCTCAGGGGTATCTGTAATTTAGCCAAACCTCGAGGGGTGTATATGTAATTTGCCCAAAAAATAATTATAAATAAATAAAATTCTTGGAGAGCAAGCCTCTTTAATTTACAATTAAATTTTACACAATTATATACAATATATATCATGAAAAATGATTTAGAGCACTAAAAGAAGAGCACTAAAAGAGCATTAAATTGTCTTTTTCCTCTGTGTTTTGTCTTTTTCCTTTTTTCTTTCTATTTTAATTTTTTTTTAGGCATGCCACGTCATTAGAGCTGCTTTTAGTGGTCTTATTTTAGTGGTCTGTATCGTAGTTGATATATCATATAACTTTGACATTTATCTAAATGGGCCAATCACGATTGTGGTGGCATTTGCTGAATCGGGTCAAACGGATGCATAGTCATTGTCAAAAAGGTAATGTGTCCTAATCTTTATTATTATCGTTAGGCGTGTTTGTTTGGACGGATTGAATAATAGGAGATTATAATTCATCAGATTATTAGTTGTGGGATACATTGTCTCCAGACTATTTGGTTGGACTAGATTTGTATCTTATGTTTGTTTAGTTATGAAATTAGATGTTTAGATTGGACTATTTTTAGTAAATCCAATGCTTGTTTGGGATATTATGAAAAATAATAAATACTCAAATGACTATTTTATTCTTTTCAATTATTTACTAAGTAATAGCAATATTAAACATAGTTTTAATATTTTAATTATTTTTAACTAGATTAAATAAAAATTTATCTTATTTTATTTTTTTCCCAATTAAATAAATTTATTTTAAAAAAAATAAATAAATTAAATATAAATATAAATATATGCTATTTTTTAATTAAAATTTTAAATAAATTTATTTTAAATAATAATAATAATGAAATAATGAAATAAAATAAAACATCTATTAAAATTTAAATAATGAAATTAAATAAAATATAAATAAAATTTTAAAATAAAACATCAATAAAATATCTATAAAAAATATTTTAAACAATTAAAATAAAAATAAAATTAAATAAAATTATTTTATTTTTAAATTGAGACATTTAAATTTTTTTAAATTTTACTAAATATAATATATAATTAAATACTAGAGGGCAAAAATGTAATTTCATTGGCTAATCCCATGAGATGAGTTATTCCATGATTTTTATCCCACCCCCCATGGAATAGGATAGTCCCACAAATATGAGACCAATAGTCTGGGGGGACTACTAGTCTGGAGCAAAACTTTTGAAACAAACAATAGCTGTTAGTCCAATAGGACTAATAGTCTGATGCCATAACCTAATTCTTCAAAACAAACACACCCTATTTTGTTTTGTAGATGGCCCATTTAGATAAGTGCTTATGATTTTTATTTTGTTTTTGTCCATGAGGAAATTTGAATACTTGATTTGTTATTATTAAGTTCTAATGACTGCCGATTAAGGCTTATTTTTGTGGAATAAGATTAAAAGTCAATTTATTGGCTATTTAGTTTTTTTATGTTTTTTTTAATCACATTATCTATTTTTTTATGCATTTTTTTTTAAATATGTCAAAAAATAAACTTTTAATCTATTTCTCAAAATAGACCAACAACATAATTTATGTTTACTATACCAAATTTATTTTCAAAATTGCTTCCCACGATTGCATTGATGCATGATTTTGATACATTTTATATACACACATGAAAAATAATAAATTTTTAACTTAAAATTTAAACATTATTGACCCTTTAAGGGTTTTTTACTGGTCGGTCCTGAGTTTTGCACTTATTCCCTTCTTAGTCCTAACTTTTCATCTTGTGCACCAACAGGTCCTGAGCCTTTTTTTTTGTAGCGTTTTGCCCCTCCCCTGTTCTGGCGCGTTTCTGTTTGGATTTTCCATGAAAATATTGTGTTTGTGATTTGGATTTCTGTGGAATTTCATGATTTGCTACTGTATTATTGTGGAGCTTCGTAATTTCTGATTTCGCACTTGGTGTATCTTCGCGATTTGTGATTTGCGATTGCGTGCTTGGTGATTCTTCCTATTTGCGATTTCGCGTTTGGTGTATAGTTACATTTTCTGATTTGCGGTGTTGTGAAGTTAGGTCAACTGGTATGTTTGATTTTGATTTCAATTTCAATGTTTTTGTTCTTTTTAGTTTGAGTAGGTTATTTTGATTTTGTGGTGATATTGTTGTTACTCTATTGTTTCTGTTGCGATTGAATTTGTGTTTTGATCATGATATTGAAAGTTTTGAGATATGTATTTGTTGATTGAATTTTAGATTTTTATTTTTTTTGGTTACGAAATTGTGTTGATTGAACACGCGTGTTGGTTTGTTATTTTATACAGTGATAATTTTATCACTGTGTATTTTGGGGGTGATGTTGGATTAACTTTTTCAACAGTGATAAATTTATGAGTGAGTATGGGAATAGGAGATGAAAATGTTGCATAATGTAATGGTAGGATTCAAATCGAGTTACCATGTCTAATAAGTGTAAGCCTTATTCACTGTTCTTGGTCTTTGGAGGTGTTAACTGTTAAAGTTATTTGTGTTGGTTTTTGGATGTGTTTGAGTTGGTTGATAATTTTATCGTTGTATTTGATTTTGTTTTAGGGTGTTTGAGTTGTTTGCTGAAATGTAATTGTTGTTTGTTGCAGGATTTATAGTGATGGAAAATTGTTTGATTCTTATGTGCAAGTTTAGAGGTGTGACATTGGTTATCAAGTATAATGATGGATTTAATTTCAAGGATTTAGTATATAAATTGTGTGCAAAGTGGAGTGAGTTAGTTGGTAGTTCTATGAATATATCGTATTCAATGCCTGGACATTTTTCTTGTGGTCTACAAAGTGAAGAGGATTTGGAGGTTATAGTTGGACTGGCACTTTCTTGTGATATTCATCGTATTGATGTTTTTGCAAAGGGTTGTTCTTTGGGTGAAGGTTATATGATTTGTGATGGTGAAACTAGTAGTAGTAGTAGTAGTAATAGTAGTGTTGTTTGTGAAACTGATTTTTTGCCTTCATTTTATTCAAATCAACGGATACCTTTACTCTCCGATGGGTGAGTTAAGTGTATGGAAGGAGTGGGACAAAGGTTTGCTCAAGAAGTTGTTGAATTTCGAGATGCGTTGTCAAAGTATTCTATTCATTCCGGTTTTAATTTTGATTTTGTTAAGAATGATAAGGATCGTGTCACTGTTCATTGTAAGAGAAGGGCTAATTTGGGATGTTTATGGAGCGTGCATGCTAGAGTGGAAAATTATAGTTAAGCTTTTGTTATTAAACAATTTGATGATGTTCATACTTGTGGATCTTCTTTTCGTACAATTAAACATGCTAGGATGACTTCAAGTATGATTGGTGGGCTAATTTCAAGTGATAATCGTAATAAGGCTTTGACATCGGTTAGTGAGGTGGTTTGTGATTTCGAGGACTATTATGGAACAAAAGTTTCTTATCGGCAAGCTTGGATAGGTGTTGAAAAAGCAAGGGGTCTTGTTTTTGTGACTATTCATTATCATTTGACGATCTTCGTTGGTATGTTGATGCCGATAATGATTGTAATCTGGGGAGTGTTTTTGATATGGAATTTGATGTTGATAGTAAAGGAAGACATTTCAAAAGCTTGTATTTTGCTTTTGATGCATGTATTCATGGTTTCAAGTATTGTTGGTCTGTGTGGATGCTTGATGGAACTTTCTTGAAAGGAAGACACAAAGGTTGTTTATTGGCTGCTACGGCAAAAGATGGTAACCAAGGAATATTTTGTGTCTTTGTGTTATTATTATTGAAACAGTGATAATTCTATCATTTTTGTTACTGGAGAGTGCTGATAATTGAGTATGGTCAATCTATTAGTGATAAATTTATGCTGTATACTTTTGTTAAATTTTTATATTTATACAATGATAAATTTATCTATGGCTGGTGCTATATGTTATATACTTTGTGTTTTGATTTCTTTTTGTAATTTTTTTTATTTGTTATTGATAACGTGTATATATATTTTGTTTGTAATTGGTGCGCTTTTATGTTTTGCGTGAAAGTATATTGACATTGGCATTGGTTCTTGTCAAAGTTATTAGGTATTTTGACTCCGGAGAGGATATTGCATTGTACTCAAACTGATCGACATGAAGGATTTGAAAGCTTTAGCTGAGGTCTTTCCATTTTCTTCTCATTCTTTTTCTCTAATGGATTCGAAAACAAACTTGAAGACTTATTTGTCAGTGAAGAGTCGTGAATCTAAAGAGTATTTGCTTACTCTTTTTAGTAGATGTGCATATGCTCCTACTATTGAGTTGTTTAATGAGCTATTTGAAGAATTTAAGGGTCGTTGTGGTCGTAGTGTTGAGAAGTTTCTTGAGGATTTGCCTAATGAGTGTTGGTGTAACGCTTATTTTTAAGGCAAGAAGTATGGTGAAATGTGCACAAATGCTGCGGAATCTTTTAATTCATGGATTAGGGATGAATGCCATTTGTTTTCAGTTAGTCTTGTTGATGCTATACGGGTGAAACTAATGGAGCAATTGTCAAGAAGGAGAGAAGTTGGGAATAAGTGGAATCGTATTGTTTGTCTTTTTGCAGAGAAAAAGTTAGAAGAAGCTTTTAATGATACAAAAGTATGGATAGTTAAGAAATGTAGCGATGACATTTATGAAATCCAATTGGATCATTCAATTATGGTTGATATTAGGAAACGTTGTTGTTCTTGTCGATTGTGGGAAATTGATTCTTTTCCTTGCAAACATGGTTTTTGTGCTATAAAAAAGAGTGAGAAGGATCTGAATTGCTTTTTTGATGATTACTACCGTGTTAGTAGTTATTGTGATTCTTATTCACATTCTATCTATCCAGTTCCCAGTATGTGGAAGCCAAATATAGTTGTTAATGATGACATTGTTTTACCTCCTCTTTGTAAGAGACCAGCTGGACATCCAAGAATGGAGAGAATACCTTCTAAGGGCGAAATCAAGAGAATTAGATGCAGTAGGTGTGGAAAGATGGGAACTCATAATCGGAAGATATGTAAAGAAGCTCTGCTTCAGTTGTATTGATTTTAATTGAATTACTTTGTTTGAGAGTTGAGAGGTGTTACTTGCATTGAATGATTGAGTATTTTTGGAAAGATGTATCATTCTGGTACTTGCATTAAATGATTGAGGAATTTGTTGATTAGAAATTATCTTTTTTGCTGATTTTTTACAGGATTAAGTTTCACAGATTTATATTATTTGATTTGGGTTAAATGTAGTTGTTGTTTTTGGTGTTTTATAAAGTGATAAATTTATCACTAGTTGGTTTGGACAAGTTGATGGATTATTTTTTTGTAAGAATGATAAATTTACCAGTAATGTGGTTCTTGAATTTTGTTATTTTGAAAAATGATAAATTTATCACTTATTGTCTGGGAAGAGTTGATGGTTTATTACATTTATGTCAGTGGTTGATAAATTTATCACTGTCATATCCAAGCAAATGTTATTTTCTACAGTGATAAATTTATCATTGTCTAGAGTTATCTAGTTTTCCTAGGAAAAATTTCCACAATACAAAGGTGTAGATCAAATCTCTAGAATACATAATTGCATATCTACTGTGTTAACTGCTTTAAAAAGCAAAAATTTTAAGATCAACTACCATGTTTATCTGGTTTAGCAAGTTCTCAGTCTGCATACTGTTTTGTGGTCACTTAGAAGCTAGCTTTGGATGTTTGAGTTGTTTAACTGAAGTATCAAATGGTTTTGATTATTCAGAAATCACCAAGGGTGGCATGTTCTAACATTCATTCTCAAAGTTGGGAATATCTACAAATTGTAACAGTATTTTAATTTCCAATTTGGACAATGTAATAGTGTTTGTGTTTTAATTTTCAATTAGGTAAATTTTTTATTATTTTTTATAGTGTTTTGTTTACTTGAATTGGGGAAAAAGAATGTGAGAGAGAGAGAGTCGCTGGTCTTTTTGTTTGAAAATTGGTAAATTTATCAGTGTTCACAGTGATAAATTTGTTGAAATAGTGATAAATTTATCAGGGTAAACAAAACACTATAAAAAATAAATTTATAAGTATAGTGACTCCAAACCTGTTATTACCTTTTAAATTCAACACAAATACTCAGATTAGAATCAATTTTTTGAATGAAATTTGGATAACAAGACTGATATGAAAAACCAGGTCTGGTAACGATATGGCTAAAAAAAACTGAATGTTTTATTAAAGCGAGATTGTAACAAGCAAGCATTGTCCATAACTTTGACATTGTAACAACGAAGCACTGTCCATAACTTTGATATTGTAACAACAAAGCATTGTAATATTCATTGGAGGAAAGTAAGAACCAAGATCATCAAAATACAGGTAACACTGTAACAAGCAAACAAACAAAATGTATGAAGTATTGACATTCTAACAACCAAATGAATCAGTGTTTCCTTTTGTTTTCTTCTATTCCAGATCTGTTGGTTATTGCAGAGGCAAGTCATCAATGTTTTAATCAGTTATTTGTAGTTGAGGAACTTGTTGGTCAGTCAAGAAGATAGTTAACATATCACCTCTCAATTGATTGCATTCGTCCTTGGAAAAAGTAGGCATTATGTTGTTATTGGAAACATATTGCCTGATGATGTAGCAAACAAGGATTCCGCAATCAAGCCTGCAAAAACATTTTGAAAACAAAATATTATAATTTGGTTTTGTTGCTTTTTTTTTTTTTTTAATAACAGTGTTTTGTTATTGATAAACTTACGATGTGCCTTCTTGTTGTGGGCTGTTGATGACGTTCTCTGTCTGCTGTTGAAATTTATCAGGGTGAATGAGAGTTGGGTTCTCATCCTTTATGTATTTTTCAATTACCTCTCTCTACAACATATACATTTGTATAATTGTTGTATTAGAAAGTCAGTTGAAACAATTAATGAGAAACCATGGATTTAAAGAATGAAAAATATATTACTATATAAATTTTTGATGTATAATTAAGCATGGATCAGGATATATGTATTGGATTAATGGTAAGTTTGATAGTGAAAAGATTTTTACCACTTCATTTGCAGCATTGAAGTGTGGATCTTTAGTCATTGTTCCCCTTGGTCTCATTGAATTGTAGAATTTTCGTGAAGCTTCTTCAATGTCAAGGATAAGTATTGTCTAGTGAAAATTTTGGTGGATTGGAAAGAGAAGGTATCTTGCTTTCATGGCTTCTGACATCATTTTGTTCAGCATTCTTTGTCTTGCTTCCTCATCTTTTGTAGTGAACAAGTGCTAACAAATATAAATAAATAAAAATAATGTTAATTTAACTTTAAACTTTTTCAAATTAAATAGGTGGTGAGTATGAAACTTTTTGTCACTGTGATCAAAATTTTATCAATCCATATCAAAATGTATCAGTGCATTGCAAAATTCATCTATACTACATATAAAGAGAACACATCTATTGGTGTCTTGAGGGCTTTTTTTCTCCTCCATGTGAAATGGATCTTTATATCCGCTAATATATCTATACTATGCTTCTCTTTCATTATGTAAATATTCACAAATGATCTGTAACAGGCTATATATCCATACTGCTTATTTGCAGTACACTCATGTGAGTGTGCACATCTAGTAATATATATGTATATGATGATTCTCTCCATTCCATAGTTGTAATGAAAGTTGTTCGTTACTTAATAAATTACATCAAACAAGAGCTCTATGAGGCTCCACCAGTAACAAAATGAAAGTGAACTATGTCCGGCAATATTATAGCATATAATCAAGCTATTTCAATTTCAAGACATCTCAATATTTGTTGAAGTTCTCAATATCATATGCAGTAGTTTTGAAAACCCAAAAAAGTGCCCAGAATTTTTAATCAAAGTCTGGGATTTACTCATACTGTGGCACCACAATAACAAGGTCAAAATATGGAACAGTGATTAGAAAATCTGAGTCAGAAATTCTGGTTTGGTTTGCTTGACTTTTTGTTTCACATGTCAAGCTTTGAATTAGGAAACAGGGCCAATTGAAGAGGGAAGGTAGTGTCATTTGTTTGAAACTAGTTACTCAGTTAAGCAAACAGAGGTTATACATTGATAAAAAAGAAAACAAGTGTTGTTCCTCAATTAAGCAAACTAGTTACTTACATGGCAACTTGAAATGAATACGAATGATGTTGTTCCTTGTTTTTGTGCAAGAAAATGTTCTGCATATGCATCTATTACCTATGTTGAAAACAAAAAACAAAACAAGGAATTAATATAAATCAAACACTAAAATGTTATTTTAATTAGTTACAAATTCAACTTACAATGCCTACCAAATCTTGACCCTTCAATATTTTGTCAATGTCATTTAAGTAGATATAGGTTCCATGGTGAGATCCTTGCCACACTGGCTGATCGTTAAAAAAAAGGTTATTTGTGTTGGAATAATAAATTTATTAATATTTTTGGAATATTTGATACTTATAAATTCAATATGAGTTAATGATAAACAGTCGGCAAAAGTAAACAGGAGTCAAGAGAGAAGATTGTTATTTTTTTTTTGTATTCACCCAATGTGCAATGAGATTTTGCCTTGATTTTTCTGGTAGGATATTGAAAATTTCGTTTGAAGTTTTTAATTTCTTCATTGTAGGTTGCTGTTGTGTGTGTTGTTCTTCCGAGTAGTTGTTTGCCTCAGCCAATGTTTCAATTCTCTCATGGAGTATTTTGATTTCTTCATCTTTCCTTTGCATTTGTTTTTTGTGTTGTTCTTGTATTTTCTTTTTCAGCTTGTTGAGTTGCTGTTGCAGGTTATCATTTGCAGTTTGAAGGATGTCCCTTTTCATTTTTAACTTTTCTATTTTGAGCATGTCGTCTTCTATCATCTCAAAAACAAGTACTTCTACCAGATTTGGATCTGCTTCAGGCTCTTTGTCAACTTTGTTTGCTTCACTATTTTCTGATTCAAAGGGTACTGTTTTCTTTTTCTTTTCAGGGCATATTTTGTATGGAATTGGTTCCCATGTTTGATGTTTGGATTTGTCTTCAGTCAATGTTTGTTCTTCTTTTTCAGAATTTTCAGCCTAATTTTCTTGCTGAAAATCAACATCTTCATCTTCATCTTCATGTTCATCTTCATCTTTATCCTGAATTTCTCCTAGCAGCATTCGGTATATTTTTTTCTCTTAATCTGTGTGTTTCAAATTGTTCTCCTATATAAATGAAAATTTAAAAAATGAATGATATGATACAAATTTTAGAGATAAATTTCTCATAGTAAATTTTATCACTCAACTAGGCATAGTAAATTTATGATTGTTATAGCAAATTTTATCACTGAACTAGGCATAGTTAGCAAACCTGTCATTGTATATCAAATTTTATCACTGAATTAGCAAAAGTAAGCTAATAAAGTAAATATAAGACAAAATGTCTAATTCAATTCATTTTTACAGATAAATTTATCAATACAAAAACCTAATCAATTCTAGTCGAATATAAAGTAACACAAATAAAGTAAATATTAAACAAAACTCATGCACAGTAGACAAATAAAAAAACATTCACTGGATAAAAGAATTTATCACTCAATTAGATATACTAAGGGAAATTTGTCACTTAATTAGGCAAATTAAATAAATTTATCAGTGTGAATAAAAATTTATCACTGCATAAGAAAATCCATCATTTGTTTAAACAAAACAAAGGTTAGCATTGCATACCACAATATCTTTTAGCTCTTGCAAGGATGAACTTGCCAATTGCTATCCCAAACATGTGATGTTCCATTTAACAAATCTTGGGATTGCATTTTTGGCATTGGGTTTGATGGTGCTGGTGTGTTCGCATATCCAATACTGTTGAAAACAAAAAAAAAATTGTTATAATCAAGTATTTAGTAAACGTAAATATTATAGTTCATAAGTTATAAGTGAGATATTTACTTACCAATAGGACCATCACACATCCAGACACTTTATCAATTTGGTTGATGTTTCTTTCTATTGATTTTGTGAGCTATGCCTTTGCTGTGTCGCACCAATCATAAGACTTCATTTTGTCAATATCCTCAAAATATTTCATGAAC